TGTTCAAAGACTTTGAAACCAAATATTTTAAAGTAACGCGTAAACTTGATACTTATACATATCCATTGCACAGAACAGCTTTGCTTGAAAGCGGATGTTGTTACCAATGCTTTGGATTTTACAATTCTTTGCCATCTAAATAAAAAGAACTGCCAATTACTCTCTTTAAAAAAAAAGCTAAGACAAAACTCATAGGCGCAGAGCTCTACACTCTGAATGAGTTTGCAAATAATATTTTTATGTAAATACTTGTCACTAAATGTAAAATGTTATTTGTTTGTTTTTTTACGTGTGTTTGTATATCTATGTATCTTTTGACGAATACCAAGTGTCACTGATATTAATAAAGTTATTATTATTATTATTATTATTATTTCATCTTATCAGTATTTCAATTAAGGACCGAGATATTGACAATTATTTATAAATCATTTATTAAGGTAAATATTATTATAATGTCACAGAAATTACCTGTGTATGCAAAATTTCAGCTTGTTCGGAAAAAAAGGAGTTATTTCTTTGACTCGCAAAAGACAGACAGTTAGGTAAATATAAACTACAAAATGATTTGTCTCAACTATTAAATTCTTTATATGAAGAAAACCTGTCTCTAGCCTCCCTTCTGATGTTTTAATAGTTGACAGATCAAAAGTTGCTTTAGTCCATAGTGACGAAATCAAAATAACGTTGCACCTTTGCCGGCAGTGGAGGCACTGCCTAATAAAATAAGTTTTGACATGAATTTCTTACATATTTTTGATTCTGAAATTTTGATTCTAATGATTCATTTTCATTGTTTTGTATAAAATGATTGAAATGTTGAATAAATCGTTATTAAATTTGAAATAGGTATACATGTATTTTTATTTATTCTAATATTTGTTAAATTAAGTTGTTCTGAGTTTATTAAATTATTGAAATTACTTTTTATACAAATTTTAAATAATTTTTAAGGTTTTTTATTGACCAACGACTAGACATGCACTTTCTACAAACTGAGTCAATTATGTTATTTAATTAAAAACTTTCTAAAACTTAAAAATCGCACCAATTGACGTTTTTTGTACGCTTACTGATCGTAAAAATTAGGAAAAGCGATGAACTTTGTTAGGAGAATTGTTTCAAAAAATGTCTTGAGTTTTGAACGTGAATGTGAATATTGTCATCAAAACACTTAAAATATGGTGTCCTAGCCGTAAAATTACGCGATGCAACAATTGAAAATGCTCTACATCAAAAGTTTTTGAAATATTGAATAATAAATATAGAAATGGGGCTATAAGCATAGACACTATTATGTTGTTGTAAACAAAAAATCAAAAAAACTTGAATTTTTTCAAAAACTATTTGAAAATTTTAACTAGAGTCCATTGAACGTTGTAGGAACGTGAAAAAATAATTTTTGTATGATTGAAAGTAATGTATTGAGACATAGGTATGGTCCTCCTTGTGGCAGGTGACCGAGTTTGCACACCGGACAAAGCAGCGATTTTTTTCTAATTCAAATTTAAATACTAATAATTCAAATAAATATAAGATCTTTAAAATTATACAGGCTGCGCTAGAACTCGCGACCAAAATTTTGACATTAATTTTTGGACATTTTTTTATGTATATTTAATGATATTGATGGTCTTGTATATGTTTTTTTTACAATTATTTAGTGAAGGTACAAAAATTTTGCCAATAAAAGCCACAAATAACATTAAACAGAGTTAACATTTCCCTTGTTTCCTGTTCTAATAACCTTTAGTAAAAAAACTTGGAAAATTATTTTTCCAACAGAAATAAATAGAGTCAAAGTGCAAAATTTAAACCTTATAACTTCGAAATATTTATAGTTAAAAAAAATTTAACATTTTTTCCATGATCCTGATATTTTACCTTACATGGCATTTTTCTCGGTGGCGCGAGTTCTGGCGCACCTTGTATACAGGTGTTAATTATAAAAGGATTGTAAAAGAGACAGAAAAAAATATTCAATTTTTTAAATTTGTTTAATTAAAACATCATGATGTACATTTTTTTTTATTATAAGTATGTCTCTAAGGTTTTCCAAATAGAATCATGATGTTGAAAAATAAGTTAACAAAATTTAACCTTTAAATGCTGTAAGAATCATAAATTCCTTAAATTATGTCTGTTTGTAACATTCTTAAAAAAATGTTGAAAACATTACTGATAAAATAAAACGATTTCTAGATTTAAAAATCTCCAAGGTACAGGTAGACAGAAAAACCCATGATTAACCCTTGAACCACCCCATTTTGTGAGGTAAGAAATTTCTTGATCCTAATTATCCCAGGAGTAAAATTTCCCACAATAAAATTTATAAACAGATTAAAGGATTGGAGATTTCTCACCATATGTCCACTAAAACCAATTTCAAATTTCCAGTGCAACTGTTCTATCATCTGGGAACAGAACTTTAAGTGAATCATATAGTAAAATTTTATTGGTGTTAAACGTGGGAAAACGAAAATTACCAATGCTTAGGAGGTTGCAGTGTCCCTTGTGAATGAGAATGAAACGTGCTCTCTCCTTGAGATTTAGGATTACAAGAAAATAGCAAAAATGTTTACGTTTATTTGATAAACAATTAAAAAATGTATTTAATGAGTACTAATGACAATTTTCTCTTCGTATTTAAAAACCCCTAATTAAAAAGCCTGTCAAGGCAAAGTTGTTTCTAAAGTCTTTTATAACATTAAAGTTTAAATTATAAAAATTTGTCTGAACAATTACTGTGATCTCCATTTTTTACTAACAAAAATGTTAAAACAAAATTATATTAATGTTCTAATTTTTATAAAACCAATAAGGGGCGATTTAAATAAAAAGTGAATTAAATTTTAATTCAAAATTTTTGAACTATTTCAAATTAATTTATTCTGCATAATTTTGGTGTATATGGATTGAAAATTTAATTTAGAACTTTTTTGTGTTTTGTCCAATTTCATTTAAAGAGGTTGTTTTCAAACACCACATCAAAAAGGACAAGGGGCGCTCTAAAGGAAATTTCCCAAACATCGGTACCCTGTGGAGAACTGGGAACTGACCCACAAATTACCCCTTTTTACTTTACCCTTTCGGCTTTCTTTTAAGAAACACTTTCTAATCTTACTATGCACTGAAATAATCGCAGGGCGATTTTTTTTTGTATACAGGCTGTCAGAAAGCTCGGACAGGCTTAAAGGTATAAGAATTACATTACCAAAAAGAAATAAAACCAAATTATAATTTTTTTTCCAAAAATGTTTCAAAAAGTTGAGGATTTATTACTAGCCACACCCGTTTTCACATAGTTTGCTATGGAAATCCAAAATGTCTAAATTTTCTCTAAACAAACGTCAAGAGTAAATTACTATTTAACAAATAGTGAAGAATTAAAGTTATGCAAACTTAATTATTATTGATAGGTTCTACCATGCGATCATTATTTAAAGCTAACAAGTGAGAAAAATTTATTTTTGTTTGATGTACGACATCATAATTTGTTACACTCTCCATAAATACAAAATTAATTAATTAAATCTAAGTTTGAGTAGTTTTGACCATATTTTGGCACTATTTGTCAAATAATAAGTCACTGTCGACGTTTATTGAGAAACAATTTTGTCATTTTTGATTTACATAGCAAACTATACGAAAACAGATGTGGCTAGTAATAAATTTTCGGCAGTCTTAAAAATAAAAAACATAAAATTATTAAATTTTTGGTATAGGGAACGTTAATACAGATCGATGCAGAATTAAATTCTCTTCCATTTAGTAAAATAAAAATTGGGGTATTTCATTTGGAAAATTTGAGTTATGGGTATTTGAATTATTACAAAACTAACCTTAAAATTTTAGGGTTTGTTAATTTTTTTTTCAAAAAAAAGATCTAAAGAAAGAAAGATCTAAACTTTCTCTTTCAAACGCCAAAAAAACAAATTCAAAATTTTAAAAAATAGCAGAGTTATCGATTTTTAAAGTGGAAGGTGCAGATCCAAAAACTTTTGAAAAAGTCCTAATATTTCAAAAACGGCTAAATTTAAATATAGGAAAAGCTGATGAAAACTCCCTTAAAATGACCCGATTAATCAAAAAACGCAGTAAAAATATAGTTTTCCATTTAAAATAAGAAAGTTGAAACAGACTTCCGGTACAACCAGAAGTGCCGCCATCTTAAAAATATTTTCATTTGTGAGAACTTAATGGATTATGGCTATGTACCAATTTTCAAATAAATACGATTTTTCGAACTCCCAATACTTCTAATGTGGGGTTTAAACGGAACATCCTGTAGATAAAGCGTATTTTAACGGCAACATAACAAGGAAGTTTAAAAGCACCATAGAAACAGATAGTGTCAAACAAAACTTAGAACAGGTGTGAGGATTATAAAATAAATTAGAAAACGTTACGATAATTTCGATAAAACGTACATTTGCTAATCAGATAGCGTGAGTTGCGGGGGTAATCGGCTATGCCGCGCATTCCAGATAATTTCGACAAGACATTTTCGAATTCTATAGTGTGAGTTCTACAAACTTTTTTTGGAACCGATTGGATTTGATCACAGTTTCTAGTTTCAACAAAGTAATTAAAAAAATAAAATGAAAAAAACAGAAATCCCTAAAAGTTAAAGCAATGGAGACTAAACATAACTGTTACAGTAGTCCAACAACAAACACAATTATTATTTAAAAAAAAAAACACACCAATTTGGGGAAAACTATTATTGTTATACACGTAACCGCACTGCGCACATAATCTAGGGTTTTTCCAATTGATAAGAAGTTTAGCCATTTGATAAAATTTTGATTCCAAGTACCCGTCCGTTTTTTCACAGAAATATTTCATTGCAAAAAGCCTCGTCTTTTTGTCTAGTGAAAAAACCGTGACCCAGTTTGTCTTCCACAACAATCAACCAAATATTAGACAGAATCGGTCACTGATTGGTTGAAAAGCAATCGGGATTCCCGTTTTTGAAGCGGCGGTGTGTTCAACTGGTGCGCACCTTCTGTCATTCCAGTCCAGACTACGGAGAGAAATGTTCCGGGAATTTGTGAACTTTGTGTTTGTATTTAAACGTGGGGTTTTGTGACATATTTGCTCCCAAATGTCGCGAGTGGATTTATTCAGGACGATCTTCCAACAACATTTAAAAGGTAAAGTTAGTTATTTTTTTTATTTCAATGAAATAATTAATTATGTGTGTCTGTAGTTTTTATTTACTATTGTTTTCAAAACTGTAAACAAAGTCAGAAATAGATTTTAATTATTTTTAATAATTCGTTTCTTCTTTTTTTCTGACATCTTCATTTCACTTTCACTTTTTTTATTGTCATTATATTATTAAGTAATTTGTCATGTCCCTGACTTGGTTTTATAAAAATTATTACAAACCGCAAAATTGGGCTTAAAAGGAATTGCGCGGTTTATCCTTTCATTCGTAGGTGGTTTGTCAAAAACTGTTCTTTTATCAAAAGTGTTTTACAATAAAAAATTGGGGGGACCTCATTTTCTATAAAAATCTTTGCCTCAAAAACATTGTAAAATAGGCATTTAACAATTTTGCTTTTTTACACATTAATTTGAAATTTTTATTTAAAAAAAATTCAAAAACCGATTAATCTTCTTTGAGTGTTTTATGTAAAAATTTCTGAATCAATAAAAGTAAATTCAAACCACAAACAACATAATAGTATAGACAATGGATATGGCAAATATTTTATTATCTCAAGTTATATGACCGAGAGGTGCAGTCGCGAGGGTGCATTTCATTCCATTTTGATGGACTCGTGACGTTGGTAATCATACATGAAATGGAAGTCCGTATTTGATTAGTGACGATTGTCAATAAAAATAATATTGTATTAAAAAATTTATCATTTTTAACGGCAAATAATTAATACGGGGTGACTGTAAATGATTGTCACAAAAAATTTTCAGCTACTTATTGCATTGGCGGACAAAATAAATTTTTGTTTCATTAAATACAGGTTGTAAAAAAATATGAGGACAAAGCGTCATATAAGATTTTCCAGATCATAATAAAGCGACTTAACCCAACCAAGTTGCACCATAAGTTGGGTTAAATCGCTTTATTTCATTTTCGTTACAGCCATTATTTATAAAAAAACTGTAAAATGAGTAAAAAGGTTTAGAGGTTCAAAATAAATGCCATTTCTTTCAGATTATTATACTATAAAAAATAAATACAAAAAAAATCCGTCGTCTTTCCTGAGGTAGGTACATAGTTTTTTGTGCAAACTATATTGATTTATCTTTTAACGAAATAACGTTTTTAACAAAAATTATTGATAAACTGATAATTAATGATAAATTAATTAAAGTTGTGTAAGAATTTTGTTTTGATTAAGATTAAGATTTATATCATTAAATGTTTTATTGGATAAAGATTTTTTTACTAATAGGACTATAGACTGAGGAACTTTAGCTGAGACACCCTGTAATATAATAAGTATTTCCACAGTGACAAAAAAACAGTCATTTTTGAACAGAGTTTACAGAATGGGCAAATATGTTAAAAAAAAATTATCTATCAAAATTTCGAAGTTAAGAGGGTTTAAAGTTTGCACTTTGACTCTATTTGTTTCTGTTGGAAAAATAGTTTTCCAAGTTTTTATTGTTAAAACTTTTTTACTATTACCTAAAAGAGGAAACAAGGAAGCGGTATCCTAAATTGTAACTCTGTTCAATGTTATTTGTGGCTTTTATTAACAAAATTTTTGTCCCTTTTCTAAATAGTTGTAAAAAAAACATATACAAGATCATCAGTATCCTTAAATAGATATAAAAAGATGTCGAATGTCAAAAAACAAATTAAAAAATTTTTTGATCGAATTTTTTAAACATTTTTTTATGTTCCTGGTATCTTACCTTACTTGAAAATTTTCTCTGGGGCGCGAATTCTGGCGCACCTGTATTTGTTCAAACAGTTTATCTAACTTAATAAGAACAAATGAATTAAATTTCTGTCATGTTACTTTGAAGTTAAGTTGACAATCCTGTATTATTTTAGATGACAAACGTATGTCGCTTGAATTTGATAGTTAGTGTTGCCAACTTAACTTCATGGCGCAGGGCACTTTGATTGAAAGCATTTCTTTTCATCAGTGGGGAATTCTTTGGACTTTACACTGCAAACGTTTAATAGTGATTAATATTTCTCGCAAGAGCGACGTCCGTTTTTCACTCGCGAATCAAAGTGAATCACTCAAATGTACCAGGAAACACACAGAGTGCATCTTTGAGCGTGGTTATTGCCCTCGTCTCGAAATTCCCAACTGAGTGTATTAAAATTCCCCAAAAGCTCACACAAGTGTTGTTTTTTATTGCAATATCGGAAAGTCCACCCACCGATAGCGAATTTTCACTTCAATTGTGTCGAATATTTGGGGAAAACCTGCTAAATAACAATGCCTAGTAATACCTGGTGAAACTGATAAGGATAATAAGTGGGTAAATGGATTAAATGGCGATAAAAAAATATATTGGCAATGTTTTCCCAAGGTGTGTGTGTGTGGTAATTTTGAAAAACCTTATGACGTTTATACGTTTATCTTATCAATTCCAGGGTTCGTGAAAATCGGTGGCGTCTAACGGTACGGCGCCACTTGTCGGGTGACGACACATTTCAAACAATAAAAGGAATCATCCGGAAATCATATTTGACGGTTCTGCAAAATCAACTGAAACATTGAAAACGGTTTTTTTTTTCATCAGAAAAGTTGAAATAACATGACGTTAATCAATATTTGAATTCGATCAAGTTCATATTTTTCAAATCAAATCATACGTCATGTAATTCAGATTACTGACGCAAATTAAAAGTTCCAACAAAACAAATTCGTTAAGATAAATTATGATGTTGTAAAATAAAGTTAATCACAATTTGTTGATTCTAAAAAATTTGGTTTTCCATAAATCGTATGTATTAAAAAAAGTTCTAAATTCTGTTTGATGTTTTTTACTTTTCAATAATCTAGATTCTAGAGATCTAAATATCTATTTAAAAATTGTTAAAATACTGTGCGACTTTAGAAATACAACAGTAGCAAATGACTTTTTTTACCAATTTTTGTGTAATTAATTCCTTGTTAGTTTTTTTATAATAAATCTAAAAATGTTTTTTACTTCGATTTTATGTACAGGTGTTTCACACAACTTTAAGAGGCTTGCGCCTAATGTACGCACCCAAATATTCAAAAATCACAAAACACTAGATACAAAAAAAATCTAATTATTTAATTTTTGGAAACCCATGACAGTAGTTGTCAAACTAATCACTGTTTCATTAATAGTCATAAACGGCAGTTTTTCAGAAACAATTGTTATTTGTTCTATTAAGAGACGGCATGAATATGATTCTAGTTTATCCATTTTAATCACTAATTCACTAAAAATGTTGTAATTTTTGAAAGGGTGAAACTAGAGAAGATTATCCAATTTTTCAAAATTTGTAATCGAGTTCGTATCGGGATATGTATTATTTATTGCATCTTACAGGGACAGGCCTCGTAAAATTATGTGAATCCTGTATGTAGATGGAAAACGGTCAAAATTGCACAGAAAAATATTTGAATTTATTTCTTAGGTAAGACTCAAAAATTACAAAAATGAGTTTCAATTGAATCAATTCATTCCCAAATAAATTTAAATATTTAATTTTAATATCTATGTTGCACGTGTCATTTTTAAATGTATAGCGAAATTCTTATCAAAGATAAATTTTAAAAATTTTTAGAATAAATACACATAAGACATACCTGGTGATCAAGAATAACTGTTTGAGTGGGCAACATTACTTGACACTTGGTATTTTAATGTAATCTGTAATCTTTTTTTGCCATATTATATTTAGTTGCAAACACCCAAAAAAGAAAATATTTTGTTGCCAACAAAACAGTTGATGTAAACATTCGGATAGGGCAAGTTGAGTTATTTTGACATCTTTTGAGCTCTACTATTACTTGTTAAAATATTTGCACATACTGGTACTGCACCCTACACAGGCTGCGCCAGAACTCGCGCCCCAGAGAAAAATGCCATATAAGGTAAGATACCAAGAACATGGAAAAAATGTTAAAATAATTTTATCGATTAAAATTTCGAAGTTTTGAGCGTTTAAAAATTTGCACTTTGACTCTATTTATTTCTGTTGGAATTTTATTATTTTTGGGAAAAGTTTTGGTTGTCACATTTGTCCTCTAGATTTTCAAAAATGTATCAAAATTTTTCGTATATACTTTTTCTAGTTTTGGGTTCTCAATCATAAAAATGCTTTTTTGTAAGTACCTATAGAGTGAGTGAATTATGTGATAATCTTATGTATTAAAATTAAAAATACAGGTGTCCGGAAAGTCGCACACCTCCTTAAAGGGAGTAATTCGGTAGTCCTACCGACTACTGAAAAAAAAATGTTTATTTGTGAAAAAAAATTGACATTTAGAAATAAAATAAATATTAAATAGAGTCAAACTGCAAAATTTAAACTCTTATAACTTCGAAATTTTTATAGATAGATTTTTTGTTTACGGCGTCGCTCGATGATACAGTGACACGGAGGTGCGTGACTTTCCGGACAGTCTATATTTTGTTTTGACAAAAATGCTCAAGCAGGTCAATTTTCTTTTTAAAAAATGCAAAATTCTCAACTTGATTCAAAATTATGTGTTTGTTTTTTGTTGATATCATTTCACTTTTTTGGGGATTTTTTTTCGAAAACTATGTAACATTTAATATCGAGCGATCAAGATAATTTGTAATCGAGTCAACCTTGGATTCGAAAACGTATGTCTGTAAAATGTCAAGTAAAATGACAAGTCAAAAAGTAACAAATAATAACTAAATTTATAATTTACCTTCAAAAAAGAGGGGTCCTACTCGTATTATTTATTATACGTCGTCGACTAATTGCAGCTCATTTTGCCGTTTTACCTTTTGACTTGTCAATTTATTTGACGTTTCACGTGCAGTTAGACATACGTTCTCGATGCAGAGGTGATCGCTGGAAATTTTGGTGTTGTCATTCGACAGATAAAAGTTGGCTAAAAAAAATTAGTGTTTTAATTTAAAAAAAAATGTGGATGACGTCATTACTCAAAAACCAAAAAGTGTAAAATTATAAATCAAGTTAAAAATTGTATATTTTTTAAAAACAAAATTGACCTGTTTGAGCATTTTTGCCAAAAACAAAATATTTTCAGTTTTAATAAGATTATTCCATAATTTTGTCGCCCACTGTGTAAATAAGTTGGTCTTTATTAGTCAACTTTCAAATTTGACATTACTGACTGACATTTTTGACAGTGGTTGTTTTTTTCCCCCTACACAAAAATATAAATATAGAACTTTGCATTTCCGGCATCGTTAGTGTCATCCCACCCTCGCACTCCCACCGCTTCCGAAAAAATCGGTCAAATGCGCTTTCTCGCGTGATTTGAAATGGCGCCAAGTGAGAGCGCATGTCTGGGGAATCCCGAAGTTGTGTTGGATGTCCACAGCACACGCGATCGCCGTTCAGTAAATCTCAGTCGCCGAGAAGCCATTTTCGAGTGTTGACGTAACGAATCAAACGACCCAAATCTCGAAAAACCATTGTCGAATTATTTTTCAACCACCCCCTTGTACGCGGTTGTCTTTGGAAAAGGCCGTGTTTCGCGCGTGCCGCCATTAGAAGTAGTGCGTGCGGATTTGTAGCCATTTTGTGTCCAGTGCGTTCGCTTCTTGTTATCGGGAAAAATGTCCGGGAAACAGGATAAGAAAATTCCTTCAGTTCCAGATGACGCTGTGAGTGAAGAAAAGTGCACCGTTTATGAGTCGTCGACCATCGACAGCGGCTTCATTTCCGGTGAACTCCGGTCCGAAGAGAAAATCACAGAGGAACTACAAGTCGAGGAACCACCACAAGAAAACTACATGCGTCTGGACAGTGGGGTTGATTTGTCTGAGAGTTTTTCCGGACTCCATATCAAAAATCCGGACTGGAACGATCTCTCCTGCGCCAAGAGCAAAATCGCGGAACCACCTGTTGAAACAACTGCCAAAGACGACCTCTGGAAAGAGTATTTCCAACAGGATGAGGATGGCGATACGTAAGTCTTGACTTTAGCGACGGAAAAACCAACTTTGATAGCCATATGACCTTTAACCCAGATGTTATCTTGTTGTTTCATTCAAATCAACGACTTTCAGTGAATCAAACAGTGGCGCAACTAGAATTTTTGTTGTCAAACAAACCTTGCAACCCTTAAAAAATTCATCATAAGAGTTATAATAAAAGTTATAATTTATTTTCTAACCAAGTTAAAGCCTTTTGGAAGATATACAATCACTCGTTACGCTCGCTTATATAATACTGTTGTCTTTTCAATTCAAAATGATTTGTAATGTTATCATTTTATAGTCAGTTGCAACAATCTTGATATAACTGATAATGCAGTGTTATCAATATATTTTTTGTCACAATTTTCAATCACGTATAGTATGATAATTGACAGTTTTAAAAATTTACATTAAAACCTTTTGAAAGTTGGCTTAATACAGAACCACTCGCTAATATTGACTAATATTGACTTTTGTTTAAGAAATACTATAAAAATATCATGCGGCAATTGAATCAAAGTAGCCTGTGACTTTGATATGACGTTGACAACATTAACTGTCAAGCTTAAACATCACAACAGTTGTCATTCGTTTGCTGAAACAATTTGACATCAGTAATTTAATGTTGTCAATATTTTTTTGCAACAATTGTTTACATATGAAAAAGATTCAATGTTGCTAAACGAAATTTCAAAGTGGCCTGTGTTAACCTACATATTTTTTAAGTTATGTTTTTGTTTCAACATATTTTGTAAATTACAAATTTAATCTTCTGGATGTAGGTACAGTGCAATCAAAAAGTCTGTCTATCAAGCAAGCGTAGAAATTTAAAACGTATGTCTGGAAGATAAAATGTCACAATGACAAATTAGAAATGTCAAAATATTTTTTATGTAAATTATGACACGAAACCGTGGTGAACGATTTTTATAAATAAACACCAACAAAATCTTATTTTAGTTTGTTTTAAGACGTTTCATAGAATAACTCAATTTAATTAGCTCAATGTATTAATTTTTATAAAATAATTTTTTGACATCTAGGTAACATACGAACTGCCATGCAACATGCGTCCTCAACTAGGACGCCTACTTGATAGGAAGACTTTTTGATCGCACTCTATAAAACTGGAAAAAATAATAATTATACCACGCGCTCAATTAAATTGCTGATTAATGTAGTTAATTTTGCAACACTAAATAAAGTAGACCCAGAAAATATAAAGTTTCACAAAGGCCATACTATCTATGATATTTTGGTCAAGTAGACCACTGAAATTTTAATTTGTAACATTAACTGTCAAATTTAAACGTCACAAGTTTATAGTCATTTGTCATTCCTTCTTATTTGCGACGCGCAATCATTGTTACACTACATTATTATTTTAGTGTTGTCAATCTTCAGTCTCTGGTCACTTTGATCAAAATTTTAATTGTTTGGTACGCCACTGCTTAACCACAACAACACATCAAAAAATGTCATCATGAAGTTCGCAAAACACGTAGTGTGACGTCACAAGGTCATCATTTTTAGGTGCACTCGATCGAATTTAACTTTCTTCACAATTACGTAATAATGATTCGGTTTTTTTAACACAACTTTCTTTCGAAATTTCGAATAGAAAATTCAAAGTTTATTGTACTCAATAGCATGCAAAAATTGGAAAAACCCTAGATAGGTATGTAGGTATATCTTCAACTAATTCGTACCTGGGATTTCCTAATCTTCAAAATGCAAGTGTGTGCCTACTTAAGTGAGATTAACATTTTTGATTAACCGATGACTAATTACCTTAACGTCTTATAACATCAAAATTCAAAAAATCAATATTATAGTTATTTCTTTCATCAAGATGCTAATTTTTTACGTGTAAATGTGTTTTTCTCGGGATTCCCGGTATCAATTAAAGGGTTCTATTCACTTGTTATTTGAAATTTGATGACATGATCACATAAAATGACAGTTGTGTCCAGTTTTCAATGCCGCCTAAGATGACACATTTATTTGATCATACGGTATGTTTAAGATGTTTAAGATTATTCATCCAATAATAATGACTAATACGTGTCTAGTTTTTTTCTCTTTGATCTAAGAAGAACAGCAAATGAGAGTAATTACATATTTGTGTACATATTTTATTTGTTTGTCAATAAATATTAATTGCGTTTTTAGCATGTATGAATGCGTAAGACAAAGGCCAGCTGGTACAACATGCAAATTGCAATTCTTTTTAAGTAATAAATGATCACAAATATTCATTTTGTCGTTGATTAGTTTTTTGTAATTAAAAAATATTTTGTTTGTTTTTTATCCAACATATTAATTTAAATTGAAAATGGAAATAATAAAATAAGACAAACTTGTAAATGTCAGAAAATGAATCATTTTAAAGTGGTAATAAAATTTAGTACCCATCGCAATGAATCAAATTAATGCCTTTTACTTTAACAATTTTTATGAAAGTTAAATGAAAATAGTAATGAGAATTTAAATTGCCATAACAATACATGAACGGTTAACACGCAACGGGGATTCCCACAGTCTAGCTTACTTCTACTTTTTGTAACTTTTAAAACAGGTTTTTTTCTAAAATACTTTTGTCTGTTGACGTCGAAATTGCGTTAAGGTTTTATATTAACAGTGTTAATTACTTGATATTAATTTCTGTTATAAGATAGTGTTTTAGACATTTTATACGACATTGAATCATATTTTTTTATTGACCTTGAAAATTTCCTTGAAATTAGAATCCTGTTTATTTCCTATTAACCCAAACCGAATAAAATGTCATCGAAACACATGACTGACACACACATCATTGTATTTTAAAAATGGTGGAAAACTGTTCTTTAATTCTTATTTGATTTAATTACTCATTGGTAATAAAATATTGAACGAAACACTCGTAAATAGTACGCTTCCAAGGTCTCCTAACCATGACATAAGCAAAGATGCCTCTGAATGTAAACCGTTGAAATCGACAGCCTTTCTCTCGTACGAAGAGGGGCATTGCCCACATACAATGTTGCCAACATGTAAAGTTAGTAAATACCAACCGTATGTTGAAAAATTACTAAATAAGTAGTTTTGTAAAGAGCATTTTGATAAATTACGATTTCTCGCATAAAAAACGTAAAAATAAATAATATTTGAGCTGTCTACCTAAAATCTGTATTTTTAAAAATTTGAATTCAACATTTAAGAATTGATTGCGTTTCTGGTAGAAATTCTCTCGAAAGTTTTTTGCTTGAAATCGTGTTTAAAGACTCGAAAATAGCAAAAATAGCATCATTTTTTATCTAATTCGATGATTATGGGTTTATCTTTGACGAAATTTTGAGAAAAAAACGTGGTGAAACGGTTGAAAAATGCAAAAATAAGTCCGTTTGCTAAATTGCTGATTTTTCGGTTCAAATAGGCATAATAATAATTTTATTTTAAAATTTGTAGGTTGTCTACTAAGTCTAGCGAAATCTCGTGAAAAAAACTCAGTTTTTTACGTCAGTTTTGCCTTAATTTGGTGATTTTTTGGCTTACTTGTGATGAAATTTAGTGAAATAATAAGATAAATTACGATTTATCACATAAAAAACGTAAAAGTAAATAACATTTGAACTGTCTACCTAAAATCTGTATTTTTTAAAATTTGTTTCAACATTTAAGAATCGATTGCGTTTCTGGTAGAAATTCTCTCGAAAGTTTTTTGCTTGAAATCGTGTTTAAAGACTCGAAAATAGCAAAAATAACATCATTTTTGATATACATTGGTGATTTTGGGTTTCTCTTTGACGAAATTTTGAGAAAAAAACGTGTGGTAAAACGTTTGAAAAATGCAAAAATCACTTCGTTTGCTAAATTGCTGATCTTTCGGTTCAAGTAGGTATAATAATAACTTTTTTTTGGGGGGGTTCTCTACTAGGCCTAGCGAAATCTCGTAAAAAAAACTCAGTTTTTTACGTCACTTTTGACTTAATTTGGTGATTTTTTGGGTTTATTTGTGATGAAATTTAGTGAAATAATCATTGAGTGAATAACGTGTTAAGACGCTCGAAAAGACTAACAGATTGTCTTTTGTCCTATTTTGGCAAAATATTGCAAAAACCTACATACTTAATTGATTGATTTCTCGGTGCGATTCAACTCGAAAATATGGGTTACACACTCAAATGGCATGATTTTTCAGTTCAGCGGTCTAACGAATTTTTCAGCTAATTTTTGTAAATTTTTACGAAATAGTACATAATTGCATTTCTGACTAAAAAAAGTGCCTTAGTAATTTTTATGAAAATAAAAACAACTAAAATTTGTGGCCAATAATGTACATTTTTTAAAATAATTATTAGATCTTGTGATAAATTGCAAAGACTGGCAACACCGCCCACGCGGTGCATTATAGTACTCGTAGTGGGAACAACGGAACTACTAAGTGCTCAACTCGGAATTTCCAGCCTGAAATTGACCTTTTTTCAGGTTCCTCCACTTGGCTATTGCTGAAGGCTTCGTCGAGGCAGTTTTAGCCTTGATCAGGAAGGCTCCGCACCCTTTGTTCCTTGACACCCCCAATGACAACGCCCAAACACCAATCCATCTCGCCGCCGCCAAACAGAACTGGAGGATAGTCCGATGGTTGGTGGTGGCGGGGGCCAAACCATGTCCTAGAAACATTCGAGGTGATTCACCCTTACACATAGCGGCCAGAAATGGTGATTTGCGGTGTTGTAAAGCCATCACCGATCCGGTACAAGAACAAGAAAGGATAGCTTTAGGATTAAATTACCCCAAACAACCCTACCATGAGATCAATCTCGACCAATGGAATTACGAAGGTGAGTTGTGTGAAGTTTAACGTGGTTTTTGTATTGGGTTTTCCTATGATGTAAAGCTAGAATGAATGGCTGTTCACAGGAAAAATGATTCTTGTAATCACATAACGGAACTCGACGAATTATGACAGTTACTTAAATGAACAATGTATATATAGCCTTGATCTGGGGTTCTTCAAGAATCCTACAAATTACCACAATGAAAAAAGTTGTCATTATTGAAATGTCAAAATTTGACAATTGACAGTTAACTGACAATTACAAAAAATTGATTTTCTCCTAGAAGGATTTTTTGGTGCTTATTTTGTTATAAATATTCCACTGTGTTAATAAAATTAGCACAAATTTGGGTTTGTATTGTCGTGTGAGTCAAAAAATGTCATGATTTAAGTTACTCATCACAGGCGGCTTATTGCCAAAACAAATACAAATGTCATAGAATAACAAACATCAGACTGCTGGATATTTAAAATTATGTTTAAAAATAACTAAATACCATGCATATTGTTTGATGTTAGCTGTTGCATATACAGGTGTCTTAAAATTCGTGGAACAGGTTTATGGCATATAATTGTATGTATGTATGAGACACGGAGTGTATAGGAAAAATTATTATAGACAAAAATTTTTCCATGTTCCGAAATTTGGGACAGCCTGTATAGCAAATAAAATTTCCAGTCTACTTTCTTTTCGATAATAATTGAAGCAATTTTTGGGGAATTGTTCATTCAAAAACATCTTTAATTTACTCACACGCCGTTTCAAAAATTGGATTAAAACTTAACTTTACAAATGAAGAATTTTATTTAATTAGAATTAAATGAAAAATTTTGCAGATGTACAGGCTGATTAACACTATACCTTTCTCGCTTAGTGTATTTTTAGTTTTTAAATTATTTTAAGAACACTTTAATATGAACCAACTAATTCTTAAATTTTGTAACGATTTTTGACAAACACTTTTTACAAATGGCACGACTTATTTTTTGTATAGAGAAATTACTGTTAAAAAACAAATGTACCTGATCTGTCCTAACCTGATCCGACAGTTGTCTTGTCTAAAACTGGATATAATGTATTTAATTCGTGATAAAGTCTCTTTAAAAAATGATTTCATTTTCATGTGAGTAATTATTAAAATCAGAAAAAAAAATAAGCAAGAAGCAGCATCAAAGGTTTTTTTGTCAGTCACTCTATACAGGATGCGCCAGAACTCTCGCCCCAGAGAAAAATGCCATGTAAGGTAAGACACCAGGAACATGGAAAAAATGTTGAAAAAATTGTATCCAAAAAAATTTCGATATTATGAGAATTTTAATTTTTTTTGCTACAGATCAATAAAGAGGATACAACTAAGCTGTATCCTAAATTGTAACTCTGTTTAATGTTATTTGTGGCTTTTATTGGCAATATTTTTGTACTTTTACTAAATAATTGAAAAAAAAAATACATGATCATCAGTATCATTAGATGTAGGTACATAAAAAATGTCAAATGTCAAAAAAATAAATGTCAATTTTTTTTACAGATAGATTTTTTTAAACATTTTTTCATGTTCCTGGTATCTTATCTTCCTTACAATTTTTCTCTGGGGCTTGAGTTCTGGCGCACCCTGTATAACCGTAATCGTCAAAATTCAATTTGATAGAAGTGGTCATACACTGGCGCACACGGAATTTTGGACATCAAATTTATGTCACTTCAAAAAATGTCAATGTAAGCCACACTTTATTGTCATTATGGATTGACGTTTGGAACTAAAATTTGAAAGTTTTAGTTGAAATTTATTTTTGTCGTCGATTTTCCGAAACAATAATGCCAGCAATACGTGTTTTTATATAAGTTTAATAAATTATTTTAATTTGTTGTCATTTTTTCTCTAGCTATCAGGATAAAAATTAACAAATACCAAAAGTGAGGTTAGTTGTCTAAAACCCGTTTTACATTTTTATGTTAGTCGAATGACAAATCGTCCAAAATTCCGTGTCCACCAGTGTACATATTTTGTAAAACGAAAATCACAGATTAATTAATTTAACTACATTTATTACATTAAAAAAATACAAGTATGTAATTAAGCAGAAAAATTGATAATAAAAAGTCAGGAAGACTATTTTCCGTTGTTTTAAGAGTAATTAAAAAAGGAATAATGAAATATTGAGTATAAAATAACTGGTTATTACATGAAATCTCGAAATTATACGCTACAACGGTAACATTTGTATTGAAAAAAATATGATTGGACAGAAAAAATAATAATAAATATGATACAAGGCTATGTAATTTTTTATTACATACTCTTGAACAATTGTCTTAATTTTTTTTCAAAATCTGTTATTTTTGTATATAAAAAAAAAAGATTTATAAGTCACTACCACCAATTCTTCTATAATATTGAGAAAACACATTTAGAAAATAAAGTCCATAATTCAAAACATTCTCTACTGTTAATATTCTATACACAGAGAGATTGCAGGTTATGGAACCGTAAAAAAAACTTTCTCTAATTCGTAGCTTAAGTGTAGTAAAATTATATTGGTTTAAATGTAACTTTTTTAATAAGATAGTACGAGCTAAGGACAAAGAACTGGTAAACTAGTTTCAGCCAAAATAATATCAAAAAAGAACTTGAAATGTTATTGCTGCGTTTTCACAAAACCCGCCGTCAATTTGAGCCAACCGCGACTGAATTTTTTATTTTTGTGTCATTGATAATTAAAAAAATGTGGGCTAATTTATTATTATTTTTATCATTGATCAGTTTTCCTCGTGACAACGCCATTCACCGCAATGTGGTGGAAAAATCGATCCGATCACTAGGGATTCCCGAGCGTGTAATTTTACCATTGGAAAGTTTTAAAAATGATCGCTTTCATTTTCTTGTTTATCGTTTTTATGCAAATTTAGAAAAAGTCATCAACCATCAACCCACCCTGTATTTTTTTTTAAAATGTCAGCAATAATTTGTGTGAGCGTCGCTTAACCCCAATTAACTGCGGATTTCCCTGGACATAGTTATGTAGTGAGTTGTTGGTTTCATTCTGAAATGCATTTCTAAAAATATTCGAGGATGGCTGTGGATTCTTGTGATGTCGGGGAAAACCAGACGCGTCTGGCACAGGCGGCATTGAATTCCGCATATTTTACTGAAATAACATCAAATTTATTTTGGGCGAACGACAGACTTTTTTGGGCGTTAAAACCAGCACTGTTTTTACCATCGATCACAAAAACCAGGAAGTGAAACGGAAAGAGTGAATCGATCGGTGGTGTTTTCGGTGGTCTAAAGTTGGCAACGGGTCATACAGAGTGGTATTTTTAGACTCATAGGTATGTGCGTTTTTTGAGGGACTCGCACCATTTTAGGATCGTTGAATCATCGCGGTCAAAAATCCTACCGGATTTGTCGTTTTTTGTCCACGAAAAAAAACCTTGAAACGAAAATCCCTAAACGAGTTTTTGCAATGTCGGGATTCCCCAGTCATTCTCGTGTGTGTTATACAGACAAAGTTTTCTAAAATTGCTATTTTTTTTAATGATGAAATTTTTGAGACACTATTATTTTTCGGAATTTCCCCGTCGGTAAACAATGCGGAGTTATATTTACGTCGGAAAATCGGAGCGCGTGATTTCGTGGGCGTTTTTGCACTCGGTGTAGTTTATTTTGAGGGGGGTCAAATCGAATCAAGTGCCTACGTGACTGACGGTAAATAGAAGTCATTTTCGGCAATTAATGTGGGGTCAATTACGCTAATGTCTTGGGTGATATTGGGGGTCATCACTCTCGACTCTGGAATATTGTTATTACGTCCAAAAAGAATTTTTTTTTGTTCAATTCTTGACGTAATGGTAATTATGGAGGGTTCTAATTTTACATACTTTAATATCTGATGAAATGCAAGGGATTAAGTAATCAGCGAAATTTCGCAAATAATGATTCTTATAACAACGAATGTTGTAAAACCGCAAAGAAAGACCAAAACAATTTTTTGTGTTAGTGACAAATCTTTGCTGAGATAATTAGGTGGATACTTGTTATTATTAATCACGGGAAATTTTATAAACGAGTGTCTAGAGGTTTAAAACTATGTTCTTAGCAGGTAAATGCGATTTGTTTTCGAAAAATCAAAGAATTTTGACCCGATAATTAAAAACTATGGTTTTGTTTTTTTAAAAATTGGAAGAATAGTTTTGTTCAAGTTTGAGTAATATAAAAAGAAAAAAAATGATGAAATTAGGGATCGATCTCCAAATTTTTGGATTTTTGAAATAACAGTCATTGTGTGCAATATGATTTTATAAATTTTGAAACTAAGTTTTTGTGTCAATAGAGCACCCAGACAAGAGTCAATTTTTTTTATAGGGATTTATACTATACGATTATTCAAGTCTTCAAGTCAGCGGTGATTTTTATTTTTAACAGTTTTTTTATTATGAATAAAAAAACAAAATTTACAAAAAAATGTAAATATTTACACAAAAGAAAATGAAATATCATAGTTCGCTGAGGATTTTGAAATTTGGTATAGGGGTCTAGATGTTGATTCTAAACAACTTTGCTTAATAACTTTTTGTCGTATTTGCTACATAAAAGGCACTTTAGAGACAAATAGCTTCTTTGAAAAGTATGTTAGAAGTTAGTCTTTAACTAAGCAGTGCTGAACCCCAAAAAATGATTTTTTTTTTTTACAAGAATCGTTTCACTTATTCGGAGACATACTGGATATACATGATCGTAAAAATTTGTTAAAAACTAACCAATTACATAATTAATTGGTTTTACATTACGAAAAATTTAGTAAAAATTCGCGTAATTAAGTTTAAAAAAGGAGAAGGGAGAAAAGGAGAAAAAAAGTTGAGTGTGGTTCTGAAATAGTGGAACTTTTTGATCAAGAAGACGAAATTAGTTACTGAGTCGATGAAAAACTAATTCTCATATTGTTTTAGCAATTTTTATCTATAATTTGTTGCAAAAATTACACAAAAAGTAATGAAATAATGATTTTGTGACTTTTTAAAGTATTTTTTTTATAACTTTTGATTCAAATAAAAAATCGTGTTTTTGATTGGTTTTTCGAGAAGAAGTATATTCTAAAAGATAAGCTAATAAAAAACATGCTCAAAAGATGGTGAAAACCATTGGAATACATTAGTTAATACAGATCAATGCACAATTAAATTTTCTTCTATTTAGTAAAATAAAAATTGGGGTATTTTATTCGAAAAAATTGAGTTATGAGTTTTGAGTTATTACAAAAGTAACCTTAAAATTTTTGGATATGTTTTTTTTTTCAAAATTTGAAAGCACCTGAAAAAGGACCTATGCTTTCTCTTTCAAACGCCAAAAAAAAACGAATTCAAAATCTTTAAAAATGGCAGAGTTGCGGATTTTTAAAGTGGAAGGTGCTGAACCAAAATTTTTTGAAAGACTCCAAATATTTCAAAAACGAATAAATTTAGGTATAGGGAAAACTGATGAAAACTCCCTTAAAATAACCCGATTAATCCAAAAACGCAGTAYAAAATATAGCTTTCCATTTAAAATAAGAAATTTGAGACCGACTTCCGGTATAACCGGAAGTGCCGCCATCTTGAAAATATTTTTATTTAGGAGGACTTAATGGTTTATGGCTATGTACCAATTTTCAAATAAATACGATTATTCCAAGTCCCAATACTTTTAATGTGGGGTTTAGACGGAACATCCTGTATAATACTTAATTGTTACTTAACGATTTTTAAAACTGATGGATTTAGAATACAAGATGAAAAGACGAAATTTTCGTTTCTTTGATTTTAATTAGTTAACAGGAGGAAATCAACGAAACAAAAAGAAAATGTGTGAAATGTATCAAAAATTATGTGCAATAATTTTTCTAAAAGCAATAAATAGGAAGCGGAAATGATGTTATTTCTTGTTTCAGGCCAGACCTGCGTGCACGTGGCCGCCATCGAAGGCCACATCGACGTTCTGCGCCACCTGGTGTGGTACGGCGCCGACATCAACGCCCGAGAAGGTCGCCAGGGTTACACCGCCCTCCACTACTCGATCGTACGGGGCGATGAACGTCTGGCGCACTTTTTACTCTCCGAATGCACGAAACTGAACGCCGACGCCGTCACCTACGGCGGCAACAGCGCCCTCCAGCTGGGCTTCCCGGTGCCGGCGACCATCGCCGACGCTTTGAGGTCACGAGGAGTGCCGTCGCCCTTCTCCACCGACGACGAATACATCGACAGCGACAGCGAATCCGAATTGACCGCCGCCGCAGCGGCTTCGGCTTACGAAAATTCAATCTTCGTCCGGAATTTGGTCGACGCCAGCGCTTAGAAATCCGCGACGGAGACGAGGAGAACTAAATCGAGCCTTCGGAGCGCGAAGCGAAGGAGGAATCAGTTGCCAAATATTAGATACTAACTGTGATCGATTTCGGTCCACATGAATGTGTTTTAGGGGAAGAAATCGCACCGGATTTATTTTTTTAATTTATGATTTTGTATATAGTGCAATGGTACGATTTCTTGCTCCACTAGGAGAAATGTTCGAGACTCGTGACGAATTATGGAATTTCTTTTGTGTTCTCGTGTAAATTATTATTTCACAATTGTACTTTTTTTGTTGTTGAAATATCATTTTTGTACATAGGCCACTATTAGCGTTAACTCGATTATTTTTAGTTTACATTTAGTCCTCTTCAAAAAAAAAAAAAACGACAAATATAATATAAAATAAAATCAGTGTTTTATTTTAATCACATACATCTATTCAAGGTCGTTTACATCTCACGATCCTGCTAATTATTATTAAAGATGGATAATTTCACTAAATCAACTTTCAACAATGCACTCAATATGTTTTGCAAATTAAAGTTTTAATAACTTTGGGGATTCCCGAGTTATTCAGACACCACCAACATTGTTGGAATTTCCTAAGTGATGCCATGTGGCATCACAAAATACCTTGTTTTATTCCTACAATGTAGTAAAACAATCGCTTTTTTCTTTCAATAGGATGTTCAGTTCGTTAACACAATTAAAGGTGATTCGTGACTTCGTACAACTAATTTTAGTTCATTAAACATTAAAAATAAAAATACTTGAAAACAAACTAAAATCAAGCTTGATAGCCAATTTCAAGTTACACATACAAAAAAATATTCTTTTTTTTTAAACTAAAATAAATCATTACTTCATTACATTAACTTTTTTTACTGACAGGAAAAATCACTCTGAGAGTGTAGGCAACTCCGTATACAAATTTAAAAAGTTGTTGCACTCGTATAAGGCAGGTGCTGTGGTCGGAATTAACTAAATCTTTGAATGCAGTCTAAGGATTATGAGATCATGATATAATTTGACAAATGAAAAATCAGAAATTGTTTGAAGTAAGTAGATAATACAAAAGTATTCTTTAATATAAATTTTATTACAAGACTAATTAATTGGTCGCTAAGAATTTGAAGGTTCATTTTCTACCTATCGATTAAGTATCGAAACAAAACATGGCTAAAAAATGTTTAATATAGGTATTAACAAGGGCATCTTATGAATGTTAAATTTGAAAAATTAATTAAAATTATTATTAACTATTAATTAGGATACAAAAATTGTTTTTTAATGTATATTTTTTTAATAAACGAATCTTTTCGTTACTTTTTATTTATACAGAAATTAATGGCCACGGAATTTTGGACAGTGTAAGCCATGCTTTGGTGTTATTATGACCAAAATTTCAAAGTTTTAGTTGAAATTTATTTTTGGCGTCGATTTTCCAAAACAATAATTCCAGCAATACGTGATTTTATATGTTCAATAAATTATTTTCATTTATTGTTATTTTTTCTCTAGCTATCATGATAAAAATTACAAAAACCAGAAGGTTAGTTCCCTAAGGCCCGTTTTACATTTTTATGTCAGTCGAATGACAAATCGTCCAAAATTCCGTGTCCGTCAGTGTATCACCTGTATATTTGAAATAAATGTGGAGTATCGTATGAATTTTTTATATTTAATACCTCAGTTAATGAATATACGGAAAAAAATGCAACTCTACAATTCCCTTTTTACCACAGAATGGTTCAGAGTGTTACGCCACTGCTCAAGTTTCCCCACTGCATTGGCTCCGTCTATCGATATCCTTCTATGATTCCCTGACCTCTACTAAAAGGTATAGCGTGTTGCCTACTACAATGTCCATTTGTTAATAAACTATTTGGTCTAAATTCTCGAGTTTTTTTCTCTTAGACACACAGTGCTTAAGAATTGAACGATCACATCAAAATTAATCCTTTGACAAGGCCAGCTGACCCTAAAACAGTCACAACTGTAACTTAACCTCAAAATCGGCCCAGTACTGTCATGTGTCAAAAAATATAATTCGGAAAGATGGCAGATACAGAGGTAAGAAAACTCTCACGTGTTAAATAATTTCAGAAAAACACCGTAAAGTACAAGAAATAACACACAATTAATTTGCAGCTTGCAAAAGCCCTGAAAGATCTTCCGTACAGAGTCCAAACTGCGAGTTTAAAACAGCGAAAAGAGGTTATTGAAAGTGTCATTGATGTTTTGCAAAATCCCGGTAAGTAGCAATGAAACGTACCTCAAATTCCTAAATACGTATTTCCAGCAATCAATGAGAGTATCATCAAAGGAATATGTCGAGTGATTCAGTTAACTTTGCCTCGATATCGCGACAGTTCTTCTCAAGTCCTTGTGAGAAACCTGATTGTAGCATTGCTTGAAAAACATTCCGATTTTGCTATAAAATGTCTGACTTTAATGCTAATGGATATTGCAACCCAACACAAGAATCTTGTCGTGACGTACGTTGTGGAAATTGTGGTGTAAAAATTTGATTTTGGAGATTTTAGTACAAATACGTGTCAGACGGGGTTGTATGCCTTGCATTGGTCCTGTTTGGTGGTTACAGTTGGGTGGAGAGTCAACCAAAACAACGTTCTCGAGACTCACCTATCACAAATAATCGAGGTTCAATCTGTTTTGTTGACCACAGTAGTAGCGGCAGGGATCGAAAAACGCTCAACTAAAGCGTTCAATCTTGTAAGTGGTGATTTTTAAATGAAATTAACTTGAAACTTTAATTTTTAGTTAAATAATTTATGGAATTCGGTACCAGAAAGTGAAAAATTGTATTTAGATAAATTAAGAGAGTTAGAACAGACGCAATATGTGGTTGTTTTAGCAGCAGCTATAGCTAAACGACTGACTTGTATTAATAAAAGTGGTTTAATAAGTGATTATATTAATTCACTTTTGGAAACTTTTATTAAGAATTTTGTCAGTTGTAAAACAAGACCATTACCGAATGTTATAATAGCGACTTATCCGTTATTAAAACAAGTCAGTCTTGATTTATTCAAGAAGAATCTTTGGGCTTCACTTCAGAAAGCAATGTTGCGTAATCCTGAAGTAATCTTAGAGTGTGTTGGACTGGTAATTTCAGGACTTTGTATAGACTTGAGCACTTGTGCTGTTGAAATAGGAAACAGTCTCATTGGTGTGTATTGAATCTAGTGATGTTTTTAAATACTAATAAACAACTGTTTTTTAGCAAATTTATATTCTAAAGACGACCAAGCAAGAAACGAAGCTGCCGATGCCTGCAAACGTCTAGCTGAACAAATTAAAGACCCCAAAGCTGTCACTGATTTGTTGAAAAAAACTTTCGCCGTGTTTCACGGGTCTGAAGGAAAACTGACTGTTGTTGATCATAAAATTAGCGTTTTGCAAGCCGCCGGTTATTTCAGCTATAACAGTGTGCCAGAAGAGAATTTAGGTGAAGTATTAGTCAATGCATCGGATTGTTTCTTGAAGATATTGGAGACTGAGGTTCATGAGAAGACGCTTTGTCATGCTTTGGAGATGTTTGCTTTGTGGGGTTGCAAATTTGAGAAGGAGGTGCCTGGCAAGGTTGTGGAAGCGTTTAAGGTATTTATTTGTGCAAAGGAAAATGCAGAAAAATGCAATAAACAATTATAAAACGTGAAAATTGAGCGCAGTAAATTTTTAAATCATAAAGTTTGAGATAATTTACACATTATTACGCAATGATCGTATTTTCATTTTTTAATTATTTTCCATTTCGTCATTGCTAAATATTTTAGTATACAGCGTGCGCCATAACTCGCGCCCCAGAGAAAAATGCCATGTAAAGTAAGATACTAGGAACATGGAAAAAATATAAAAAAAATTCTATCTATAAAGTTATGAGAGTTTAAATTTTGCACTTGTTGGAAAAATAATTTTCCAAGTTTTTTGCTATAGGCCATTAGAAGAGTATACAAAGAAGTTCTATCCTGAAATCTCACTAAATTCGAATAGAAATTTAAGGTTTGACTTTTTATAAATTAAAGTTAAGTGCTGTCTGGTCACTATGTTTAATTTATTAAAACCAAATACTTTAATATCTACGTTATCTTTGAAATGTAAAGTTGGTTGCTTCAAAAAAATTTCAGACTGATTATTACTCGTGGGACAGCCTGTTGTATAAAATTTCGACATTTTTATTTAATCGAAAGTCGTGAATTTTTGGCTGTGCGTTTCTGTTGCCAAACTTGCTATTTATGGCGGGTGTTAAAATTATACACTTTCGAGTCTTTTGGACAATTTTTCAATAAAAATATTAACATGAGTTCATAAATTGTTCATTAATTTATACAGATTTTTATAAATGAATGTTTTTTTTTAGACTTTATTTTTTTTATTGATTGCACTATTTACAAAGGTATAAAAATTATAGTTCTACTATTTTGATAAATTACATAATTTTTTTTACTCATTTTTACAAATGAGTACTTATCAAAACTGTTGTTTTGTAATTTCAGTCAATATTTTTATTATGGAAAATAATAATTATAGTAAGATCGATTTTTTTCAGTTTGGAATTTTGTACAACTCTACCAAAATAACAAATTTGTAATGAAAAAGACTTAAATAAGAAATTTTTAGACATTGTTTCTCACAGGTTTTTTTTTTTAATTCTTCAATTTTTTAATTGAAACTGATGTTTTTTTTTACATTATATTAATTACGGCTCTTTATACAGGCAGAACTCGCGTCCCAGACAAAAATTTCACGTAAGATAAGATATCAGGAACATGGAAAAAATGTTTAAAAAACTCTTCTATCTGACAAAAAAATTTTACATTTATTTTTTGACATATACATGCATATACATGATCTTGTATATGTTTTTTTTTATAATTGTTTAGTAAAGGTACAATAAAAGCCACAAATAACACTAAACAGAGTTACAATTTAGGATAGAGCTTCTTTGTTTCCTCTTCTAATAGCTTGTAGCAAAAAAACATGGAAAATTATTTTTCCAACAGAAATAGTCAAAGTGAGTTCTGGCGCACTCTGTATATCACTTTTTTATTTAACTATTATAGTCATTCCACGTCGACAAAAAAAAACTAAAAACAATTTTTATAATAATCGTATTACTGCAAAATTATTATCTTGTAATTTTTAAGTCAATTTTATACAGCTTTACCAGATCAATGAACATATTTTTACACCAAAGTTTTATATTTTTAGAACGATTGTTTATACAGGTCAAAATAAAGCGAGGTAACTTACCTCTATACCAAGTTGCACCGTTTAAAAATTAGAGGGCGCCAAAGTTTAAAAACTATTTTCGTTTTTCTTTAATAACTTGTTAATGGATTAATTGATTTTTATAAAATTTATTATTAATATTATTTTTAAAATTGTATTAAAAAAATAGGTTTTAGTGTCTTTGTGTTTGTTTGGGTTAGTTAACAATAACGGAATTTATTATTAATTTAAACAAAAAAATAAAATTTTATTGGCGTCTTGTAACTTTTAAACTATGCAACTTGGTATAGAGGTAAGTTGGTTTAAATCGCTTTATTTTGAACTATTCTTTGTTCCAATCTTTTGGTTTCACCCTGTATACATAATTTTTTGTTTATGTTCCAGAATGGGATGGTATTGAAGACATCTACCCCTCTAGTCCGCATATCATACATAAAATGCATGCTCACTTGTTTCAATCGCAACACGATTCATCAAGCCACAACTTTAATCCCAGTTTTGCTGAAATCAGTCGACCGAGCTGTCGCACAATCTGCCCAGTGTCTCCCTGTAACAGAAGGCTTGTGTGCCACTTGCATGCTTCTTAAAATAATCTCAGTGATTGGAGAAAAAGAAAACAATTTTCAAAACCTCTGGAATATTCTTCTCGACATGGACAAACAGATTTTTGTCTCTGAAAAATTCCTTTCGACCACCGGAGACGACGGCTTGATCTATGTCATGCAACTATGCGAAAACCTCCTCGTCGATCATTGTAAAATACTCAATGGAAAAAATTCACCACTTCATCGAGCCGTCTTATACTGTGTGATATTCGGATCGGCGAAAGTGCGACGTAAATGTTTGACGATTCTCAAGAGGATGGTGGCGTCGTCGCCTAAGGCGGCTCTAGCACGAGCTTTGTTCAGAGAATTATTGAATTTTCTCGAAACTGTTAAAATTCAAGGAGAGAACAATATGGAAATGTCGAGTCATGCGCTAGTCGAGTGTATCACTTCGTTGTGTTCGTCGCAGGATTTAGCACCTGAAGATGTTCAATTGTTGGCTTTGGATGCTTTTCTTCCGGCTCATTATCCTTCGGTTGTCGCCGTTGCATCCGATTTGTGGGTCAAAATCACCAAACATTTGAATGTCAAACCTAAAATTTTAATTGCTCAACAAGCTGAGTTTTTTAAGAAGGTTTTGGTGCAGGAATATGTCACTTCCCCGGTAAGTTGTTTGGCAAATACATATCTCTTAAAGAGTAAGCCGATTAAAGTTTTTTTTTTGTGATTATTTTATTTTTTGAAACAACGGCAGTTAGTCCAGTCAGTAGGGAGTTATGCCCAAAAGGTGGGGTAGTAGTAATTTTTTAATATGTTGTTAAGGTCTAGGCCTTGACAAAAAATCCAAGTTTTCGACTTTGGGGGAGGACCGCTCGATCCGCCATCTTGGATGAAAGGTACAAAAAATAGGTTTTTTCAAAATAACTCCGCAGCGGTTGATTCTACGGCAAAAGTGTTCAGATAAAAGTTAAAAAAGACAAAATTTCTCACAATTTTTGTATCAACATTTTTTTTGTAAGCCCAATGCATAACGAGTTACAGCGGCGGAAATATGAACATTTTTCCTAAAGGGTGCTCCAGAACTCGCGCCCTAGAGAAAAATGCCATATAAGGTAAGAACATGGAAAAAAATGTTAAAAAATTCTATCTATAAAAATTTCAAAGTTATGAGAGTTTAAATTTTGCACTTTGACATTATTTATTTCTTTTGGAAAAATAATTTTCCAAGTTTTTTTGCTACAGGCCATTAGAAGAGGATACAAGGAAGCTGTATCCTAAATTGTAACTCTGTTTAATGTTATGTGTGGCTTTTATTAGCAAAATTTTTGTACTTTTACTAAATAATTATAAATAAACATATACAAGATCATCAGTATCATTAAATAGGCATAAAAAATGTCAAATGTCAGAAAAATAAATGTCAAAATTTTTTGACAGATAGAATTTTTTAAACATATTTTTATGTTCCTGGTATCTTATCTCACTTGAAATTTTTCTCTGGGGCGCGAGTTCTGGCGCACCCTGTATGTTAGGAAATATTGCAAATCACAAATTTCTAATTAAAAATTTCAGTTCAAGTTGAAAATTAGATAGTTTAAGAAAAAAGATCCGATTACAAAATATGTTAAAGAGAAAAATTGTTTAAACTTTTGAGATTACCATACTACTAATATATAATAAAAAAAACGGTTTTTTATTTATTGTTTTACAAAGATATGTTCATGCATTTTATAAATGTATAAAAATATTTATTAAAAATGTTACAATTTTTGTTAAAAAAATTATAAACTTTATCTGTTGGCAAAACTTTCTTCCACCGGCCAAGAGGTGACAAAAAATATCTTGGCATCGCTTCTTTACAACCTTTAAACATTCATCAATTTATTTAAAATAAAAACGAGTAGTTTATTAAAAAAAATTCTTTAATACTTGTAAGTCAAACATTTTATTAACAAAAAGTGTTGTTTACAAAAAAAAAAAATTGCACAGAACGATTCTTGTAACAAGCTCGTTGTCAAGAAAAAAAATTGTGGTAGATTTCCATTAAAAAAAATTGTTAGTATGTTTATCTCGTATATATAAACAATGAATTGATATTCAAATTTTTTTTTGGAATCACAATTCTATAATTTTTTTGGCAAAAAAATTGATAGTTTTGCCAGAAAATAATAAGCGTTTCCAGACTTCTGGACCACTCTGTATTTAGGTCAAATGGTTCCAAAGTTATTACAAAAAAAAAAAAACTAAATTTCCATATCCACGTTCCGAGGGCTGTAAAATTTTTATCAGTAGAGAGAGATAGTTATTATTCAAATGAACATCGTTTTATAGGTCATTTTTGAGGTTCAAATATTGCTTCATATTTATGAATAACCGGGTGCCGGTGAATTGCGCTCACTTCAAACACGGCATTTTAATCCCTACAGTGGATGGACTGCGCTCAGAAAATTTTTATTTACTTGCTTTGCGTTAATCCTTATGTGAACTGCGCTCAAGTCGGTCCATATGTTTCAGTGTGATGTAAAGAATGAAATTATTAAAAATTAAATTCCCAGGCTAATAAAAATAGGGATGAACCAGTTGCAAAAATGTACATTCCATTTCAAAATAAACAAAAACGAAATAGGTTATTATTAACATTTACTGAACACAAATATGTATAGGTAAACATAACAGCGTTTTAAAAAATTTGGTCAAACTTATAAGGTAGACATTTCACAAAAGTGGATCGATTTATTTGCTTCACTTTCAATTTTTTTTTGAATTAAAACAAATTTCAGAACTCGCATCCCAGAGAATAATGTCAAGTGCCAGCGGCAATAGGTCATTAAAAAGTGTACCCGAAGAAGTGCTCCCTAAAAGTTCAAAGCACCAACCCATGGGTGGGTACCTCGTTGCCATGCTACTGAGCGCAGTTCACCTTAAGGATTAGCGACCGTTATTAGGCCTCATTATACCTGTTTCTAAAACTGAGCGCAATTCACCGTGCCCCGGTATATGTAACAAGAAAAATCAGTGTAATTTGATATAGATATCGCTGTATAAAAACATTAAAAACAAGTGTAATTTGTTCTTACGAAATTCACCGTCGATGTTATTTTTCTGGGAAAAATGTCTTTCCGCCGCTGTAACTCGTTACAGATTAGGCTTACAAAAAAAATATTGATACAGAAAATGTGAGGATTTTTGCCTTTTTTGACTTTTATCCGAACACTTTTCTCGTAGAATCAACCACTGCGGAGTTATTTTGGAAAAATCAATTTTTTGTACCTTTCATCCAAGATGGCGGCTCGAGTGGTCCTCCCCCAAGGTCGAAAACTTGGATTTTTTGTCAAGGCTTAGATCTTAACAACATATTAAAAAAATACAACTACCCCACCTTTTGTAGGGCAAAGGCCTTTTTTGGCCCCTATTGACTGGACTGCCTTGATTTTGTAGATTTATTTAATTTAAAAGTGTAAAGCACGATAAAAATAGCGCAGAAACAAAATAAATAATATTTTGTTAAATAACTCAAATGAAATAAGAATATTGTTACAAAAAGTTATTTCACAAGAATAAATAAAATTATGTAAACAGTCGTTTAAATCATCTGAAGAAATATTTCTGAAAAAATTTGAGAAACTGCAGTAAGAATAATGAAAATAATAAAATGAAGAAGAAACAAAAAACAAGGAATTATAAAGAAATTTTTTTAGTTGTCTCTTTTGGA